GTTGCTATTTTGCAGAATAGCAATAGCAATAGCAGTAGACTTATATACCGCTTCATAGGGGTTTCAGCCCTCTCTAAGCGGTTTACAGAGAGTCAGCATATTGCCCCCAACAATCTGGGTCCTCATTTTACCCACCTCGGAAGGATGGAAGGCTGAGTCAACCCTGAGCCGGTGGGATTTCAACCGCTGAACTGCTGATCTAGCAGTAGCCTGCAGTGCTGCATTTAACCACTGTGCCACCTCGGCTCTTAGAAATTTTAATTCTAGTAGCCACAGATGGATGTGGCTTCTATTAACTATAGAAGTCTGTGGTTCAACTACAGACTGCAAAGGAATATCCAAGAGTCTTGTTTGAATAAATAAAATACTTTCTACCGTAAAAAACAGGCTACAATAAGTTCATTACATTTAACATTTCTTATCTGCAGTTTTCTTTTCCAACTCTTGAGAAACAAATAGCTTCTGCAAACAAAGTGTACAACTCTCAATGCCTGTATAAAAGGTAGAGGGTTTTGTCCTGATTCTGCCTCCCTTTTAATTTTTATGACAAACCCTCACCAACAAATGGCTACAGAACAATGTTATTTGTATTTGAAGCAGTATTTGAAACAATTGTTTTAAATTTCAGGTAGGGCATTGCTATTACTTAAGCTGCTTTTTTTCCCAAATATGAGAGGCAGAAATAGGTTTCACTTGAATAAGATCTAAAACATTTCTTCCAAATCATTTTCAAGCTATGAGCAACCCAATAAATACTTGTAAATCCTGAATTCTGCCCCACTGTCCCTTTTATTTTCTAGGTATTATCTTGCCAATGTAATCCTTTTTCAGAAAGTAGTTTCAAAACAGAGAACAAAAGCCATTCTAAAGTAGAAATGGGGAAACATCCCCTGCCCTTGTATGTCTGCATCCATTGGGAACCACAGTTAGCAAAAGTTGAGTCAGACAACAAGTCTATCAGTTATATCCATTTCATTCACATTCATCTATGCATTTAAGACTGAGAATCTAATGCATACATTTTCATGAAAAGTCAGGGTGGTAATTTTTAAAGTACGCAGTTTACAGGATATTTACCATTTGTAGTATTTCATTTTCCCCCTTTTATTTTCTTCTAGGGAGCTGGTGACAGTTTTGTTGGAGCACTAGCATTCTACCTGGCTCACTATCCCAATCTACCCCTACATGAAATGCTGAGGAGAAGTAACTTCATAGCATCCATTAGCACTCAAACTACTGGGACACAGACTTCCTACCCTTACAGAAAAGATCTGCCACAAAACCTGTTTTAAGCTGTGTAACACATTTGATTTTTCTCTGCCTTATCCTGAATGAGGTGGACATGGTGTCACACACTGCAATTCCAGTTTAGGATACAGCATTTCAGCTTTACAGTGAAATTATTTCCATGTCTTAATCACTTAAGCAAGGACCTGTTTATTACTGTATGTTTTAAAAATGTGATCCTACTCCGAGAATAAATTTTTTTGTGCCATTTGGAAAATCTTTGTTTGCACTAAATGAAATTGGATGATCAAAGCAGAAAGAACTGTTTAATATATTGAGGCATAGCATACACAAAAAGGCAAGGCTCACTTTTGTGGTAATCCAGTTGCCATGACTCAACTTCCAGACATAGTTGTAGAAGTTATAACTTTTAAAAACTGGATTCGAAATTTCTCTGACATGGTCAGAGAAATTGGAACAACTTTTTCCTGAATACAAGACATATGCTAGAAGACATTCATTTATATTTGTTTAAAATGCTCACTCCATTTGTTCACTCATTCCAAGCAGTTCACAGCATATATACAATAATATATGTATAAACTTTACAACAAACTATCATGTGATGGAGCCAGAAATCACAATAGGATTAATCTTAATCCAAACTCCCACAATCACAAGGAAAACCACCACATATTCAATTCCAAGTACACTTTGAAAATCCAAGTTTTACAAGCTTCCTAAATATTAAGAGCAAAGTGCACATGTTAATTCTGGTTAGATACATTCCACAGGAAAGCAGTTTCTGCAGAAAATGCATGACATCACACATCATTCTGCAGGTATATTTTGAGCGGGTTCTAATTGGAGCATAGAATCCAAATATTGTTAGATACCTGGGTTCTACTAAGCATTGTAATACTTTAAAAGCAATGACCAGCATCTTGAAATGCAGAATAACATTTAAATAAATAACATCTAGTCCAACCTCCTGCTCATGCATGGAATGGGGGATTTGACAAACCTGTCCTGAAGCTCTCTTTATATTTGAGATGAAATCATGGTATGAATTTTTTTAAAACTCTTTCAGTTTGTGGTATAGATGTTTATGGAATGTAGTCTTTGGGGGGGGGGGGCATACAACAAAGTATCTTTGCAGCGGTACAGAATTCTAATCAAGTATAATATATATATCTATATATATATAAAAGCCAAATACCACTCATGCTTCATCACGAAATCTCCAGAATGGTAAAGCCTACAAACTTGAAATTTGGCACATATATTCCTCTTGGCTTCTAGGTGCTCTCTAAGAAAGGATTTTTCGAGATGACCATGAGATCATTAGTATTTCTAATAGTATTATTAACACGCTCTGATGCTAATGAGTTAAGATGTTCTACTCCCCCTTCCCACCTGAAAATAACTCTGTTCCAATTGCCACTTGGGCATGGGCGTGGCCAGTGCATGACTCATCCAGCCTGCAAGCTCAGAGTTTAGACATTCTACTCCCCTCCCCACCTGAAAAACACTCTGATGCTAAAGAGTTAGATTGAAGAAGACAAGGTGATAGAAGAGGATCAATGGGGTCAGCCTGAGGGAGAAAAGGGGGATAAGATAGGGGAGGCCTCTCTCTGGCAAGTCTGAGGGAGAAAGTGATAGGAGAGTATCAATGGGGCCAGCCTGAGGGAGACAAGGGGATAAGATAGGAGAGGACAATGTGGGGCAAGCCTGAGGGAGAGAAGGGGATAGGAGAGGATCAATGGGGCAAGCCTGAGGGAGAGAAGGTGAGAGGAGAGGACGATTGTAACTAATCATTTATTTTCAAGCTGTAAGAGTCGATTGATTTATGAAGCTCAATGACATCGTTTTGTAGTGGAATACAGGTATTTAGCTAGTAAATTAAATCAAACCCAAAACACCCGTCAACTGTAGCTGCTAAATAAAATTCCTTTAAAAGCAATATAAGGCCTGCTGCCTGGCTGTATGCCTGAAACAGCCAATCAAGCTCGGCAGATTATTCCATTCTTCAGTTTTGTACCTACATGGAATGAATCTTAGGAGAGAATAAGCTTCCATAAACCTGTTTCTTCCAGATGTATCTGAACTATCATTTCTACCATTTCCTGCAATCTATAGAGTTTTGACTGCAAAAAACTGAGGAAGCTTCTTGTACGTGGCTTTACCTCTTGTACTGAAATGAAACACATATGCAGTGGATTCACAGTTTTAATTCACAAGTGTAAAAACAAAGTTATTGTTTTGTATGAAGATCCATTTTCTAAATATCTTTCAGTGATGTTTTTATTTACAATTGACTTTGACCACCTCAGTTCGTTTTCTTTTCAGCATTGCCAACTTCATATTTCCTCGTATTTCCTCGTATACATCTTCACAAATCTTCTTAGCCAAGCATCAGTTACACAGAACAGATCTTTTTGTGCTCTTTGAAGAGGACTTTCTGTTTGACTATAAAAAGACAAGTAAAAAGATAATCTCTAAAATTATGCCAATGTGCATGTTTGCATAAATACAATTAAATCAGTGATTGATTCAATTGCATGCCTTTTTATCACATGAGGATGGAAATGAATGGGATGTACAGCAAATATATTGTAGGCCACCTACATATATACAAAAATATTCTCCCCATTTATAAACCCCTTCAAAACTTTCTTACCAATGCGATCATAGCTTAGCATTACTAGCTTATCTTGAAGCCGGAGTCTTTTTATATTATAAGAACAGCCCGTTCCTGCTTCACTGACCATTCTCACAAGTATATACCTAGAAGAATAATATCAAGAACACCTTTTTATTTGGCTAGCTATGATTATTTTCTGTAATTCATTTTTGACTTTGTGGTGCATGTATGATTGTCTATTAACATATTTAACTTAAATTTCCCAATTTTCCTTAATAATGTTAGATTAAGGATTTTTTAATAAGAGAATTACTTGCAATGAGAAGCCCAAAAAGCAAGGTTTTATTAGCTATCTCTTTTTCCTCTTGTAGCCCTGTATGTCCCACCAACTCTCCATCCCACCAAGAGAGGAGCATGTAGTTCCATTATCCATCATTGTGTGGCATATAAATTTAATAAATTATTACAATAAATTATTACAATCAATTGAAATCAAGAAAGCAATTCTCTAAGAGAATTGGCCACATTCTATATGACACTGAATTAGCTCTTAACAAACACAGAAAAATTAAACGTATAACAGATATAATTAAACATGCTGGTTTCAACTAAATTCTGCAATTTCTGGCACTGCATCAATCTGAGATTAAAGGAAAAGCTGTGTTCATTTAATATTTACTTAAATGAACAGCTCTTTTTCAGATAATCTCAGACTATGATTTCTTAACAATTATTTTTGATACAAAAGGCAATCCATTACAAAAAGAACCTAACTGCCATTAATAGCAGCAGTTATCTGAACTGTACAGTTCTAGAGTAGTAAATGCAATTCAAATGTTTACTTACTTTGATTTGGCTTTCTTGGCCACTTGCATTGCAGAACAAAAAAGAAAAAAATATTTAAAATGTTTTAATTTATTTACCAATACACCAAATTAGTCCTGCCATATAATTGATTTTATTTTGTTAAACCAACCAATAACCTATCAGCAATTTACAATAAAACAAAATAAAAAATAACATAGAAAAACCTATTAGCTAGACAGCAACACAGCAGTCTGTCAAAAACTAATAATTGAAATTAAATCAGTTAAGAAGCCTGGGAGAACAGAAATATCTCTACCTGGCACTAAAATGCAACCAACATGGGTATCAGTCAAGCCTCTCCAGAGAGGGGATTCCATAAAAGGGGTACCACCACAGAAAAGGCTCTTCCATGTAGAGACCTACATCATCTTGGGTGACAAGACCTGGTGAGAGGAGGGTCTCATTAAATAACCTTAAAGTCCAGGTAAGTCCATATAGGAGAAGGTGTTCACATTCAGATGGTACTAAACTGTTTACGACTTTAAAGACCAAAACCAATATTTTTAATTGGGTCTGAAAATGAACTGGCAGCCAGTCTAGATGGTGAAGAACTGACATGTTTGTATCAACTATCTCAGTGATCAATTTAGCCTAGTAAGCAGTCTATTTGGAATTAACTAAAGTTTCCAGGCTGTTTTCAAAGGCAGTCCCACATACAACACATTGCAAATCCAACTATGGAAATAAAATGAGCTGCATGAGCCGAGGTGGCGCAGTGGTTAAATGCAGCACTGCAGGCTACTTCAGCTGACTGCTCGGACTGTAGTTCAGCGGTTCAAATCTCACCGGCTCAGGGTTGACTCAGCCTTCCATCCTTCCGAGGTGGGTAAAATGAGGACCCAGATTGTTGTTGGGGGCGATATGCTGACTCTGTAAACCGCTTAGAGAGGGCTGAAAGCCCTATGAAGCGGTATATAAGTCTACTGCTATTAAAACCATTTAAATGATATTCAAAGAAAACTCATGACTCACCATATTGTTAACATTCTTTTCTAATGCAAATTTAAGGATTCCAAAACTAGATAGAGTTTATTTACTTAGCTTGTATCCCATCTATTCCCAATGGCTCTTGATGGCTCTTGATGGCTAACAACTATATAGTATATAGTCACTATATATAGCATATACATTTTTTGTGCCTTCAAGTCAAGTATTTTGACTCCTGACTGCTATCAATAATTCCTAAACAGATTCCAAAACAGAATATTTGCAAATCCTATGCCTGTCCTATACACTTCAACAGCAACACCCTAGGTCCCATCTCTGAAACAAGATCATTTTATGAGACCCAGGAAGCATACTTTTTTGTGGTGGCACTTGCCTTCTGCAATAATCTCCCCCAATTTACAGTTGACTCAAACCTTGTAAGTCTTTAGAAAGGCAGTGAAGACCTGGCTTTTGCTTCAGGCATTTGGATTGGAATGAGTAGAGGTTCCCATCTAGTGATTTACAATAAACTTAAGTTCCTGGTTATTAATAGTTATCTGTTTTCTGCTATCATTATTATATTTTGCTTTTAGCACTGTTTTTTTGTATGCTGCCTAGAGTTACAGTTCTTAACAATCCAAGGTGATGTATACTTATTAAAGCTGCTGGTAGCTGCAGTTCAGTAATATCAAAACAGTTATAACTCCTCCCTATCTAACTTTGCTCAATGGTCAATATCTTAATATCTTTAATTTATGTATCATCAAACCATGGTTTACTAATTGCATTAGTTAAAGCTTTCCAGATTGCAAAATTGAATCCCAGACATTGCATTTAAT